GAAATTGGTTTAGGCCATAAAGGCACACCATAGAGTAAATTTCTTAACCATTCAGCTTCCTTGGTGGCAGTAGCCAATGCAATAAATTCGGCTGCCATGGTAGAATCAGTTATACATGTTTGTTTCTTGACCCCAAGAAATGGCACCCTCACAAAGCATGAAGATCCATCCACTTGTGGAAGCATGATCTTCTAAACTTGTAATCACATAGCATCCGAATATCCTTCTAGTACTGATGGATATCCATTATAGCAAAGTCCATAATTAATTATTTTCTTTAAATATCTTAGTACTCGATTTATGGTTTGCCAATGCAAAGTGCCTGGATTACTTGTATATCTACTCAATTTTTCAACAGAAAATGCTATATCTGGCCTTGTACATGTCATTGCATACATCAAACAACCAACTACTCTTGCATATTGTAATTGATCAATAACCCTACCAGAATTAGGTACTAATTTAATTTGAGGATCCATGGGTGTAGATGCTGGTATACAATTAGTAATTTCAAACTTTTCAAGCACTTTTTCAATGTAGTGTGATTGAGATAAAATTATGTTATTTTCATCTCGGAATATTTTAATTTCTAAAATGACATATGCCACACCCATATCTTTCATTGCAAAGTTTTTCAATAAAAACTTCTTTGTCTCCTCGACTTGTTCTAAATCAGTACCAAATATTAGCATATCATCCACATATGAGCAATTTATAACACCTTTACTATTTTGGAATTTGCTATATATATACTTGTCAGATTCATTTATGTTGTAACCATTAGCTAAAAAAATTTCATCAAATTTTTTGTACCATTGTTTTGGTGCTTGTTTAAGCCTATACAATGATTTGACAAGTTTACAAATTTTATGCTCTTGTCTTGAAACAACAAACCTTTGTGGTTGTTCCATGTAGACTTCCTCTTCTAATTCGCCATTTAAAAATGTTTTTTTGATATCCATTTGGTGAATTATCAAGTTATATATTGATGCAAGGGAGATTAGAAGTCTAATTGTAGTAATTCTTGTTACAGGAGTATAAGTATCGAAGTAGTCAATCTCTTACTTTTGCGTAAAGCCTTTGGCTACTAATCTTGCTTTAAACTTGTCTATGGTTCTATCTATTTTCATTTTCTTTTTAAAAATCAATTTACAACCTATTGGTTTGAAACCTGGTGGAAGATCAACCAAAATCTAAGTATTATTTCCCATTATTGAGTCCATCTCATCATGGATTGCTTCCTTCCAAAATGCAGAATCTTGAGACTTCATTGCCTCGTCATATGTAACAGGGTCTGATTCTAAATTAAAACAATAAGGAATCTTATTGTCAATATTTTCTCCCGTTCCTTCTATAAGGAACATATAAAAGTCTGGATCAAAATCTTTTATCTTTCTAGTCCTTTTGCTTTTCCTTATTTTTGTGCTAGATTCATCATTATTTTTATTTTGTTCTAATGGAATGACATTTGATTGAATTGATTGTAGTGCCTGTAGTTGCCTTAAAACAGATTTGAATCTATTCTCATCAAATATTGCATCTCTTGATTCAATAACAGTATTGATTGAAATTGAATCATTTGGTTCAATTACCATAAACCTATATGCTTTACTATGTTGTGCATATCCTATAAATATGCGTTATATTCCTCTTTCACCCAATTTCTTTCTTTTGGGTTCTGAAACTTTAACTACAGCTCTACATCCCCAAACCTTCATATAACTAAGGTTTGATTTCTTTTTCTTCCATTGTTCATATGGGGTCATTTTAGTTTCCTTTATAGGAACTCTAT